AATTGAATAACATTGGCCTAATTTCGAAAACATCTCAACCCAAGCATTGCCCTAAATTTTAATTTCAATGACAATGCCCTAATTTCCAGCATTCACATTCTGATTTCTATGTGTGTGTATATATATATATATATGTGTGTGTATATCTGTGTGTGTGTAAACAGAGAGAGACCGAAAGAGAGAGGGAGATACAGAGAGAGGGAGAGACAGATGTGAAATGGAGGACATACCTGGGAGGGAGACTATGCGATGATCCTGATGAACTTGCGGTGATGGCGATTTTTGTACAAAGTTATAGAGAAGAGGGCAGAGGCGTGAGTGAGACCCAATCAAAAACTAATGTAAACAGCGAGTGAGAGAAAGATGGAAACCGAGAGGCCATACAGAGAAGGGGAAACAAATCGAGAGGGAGATAGGGGGAGAGAGAGAGAGAAAGAGAGAGAGAGGCGAAATAGAGGACATACCTGGAGGGAGGCAAAATGGAGATGGAAAAGCGCAAGTGACAGAAGCGGGAGTGAGAGAGGGAGGGAAATAAAACCACGAAATATTTATTCCCGACCAAACTTTATTTTGGTCGGTAATATATTTATGAAAATTAAATATTCCCTCCAAAATCGATTTTGGCCCTTTTGGCTACTAAATTATAGCCGGTAAAGCAAACAGATTTAGCGACCAAATTTTATATAGTCGCCTAAACCCTATTTTGCACGACTAACACACATTTGTAGCCAAAAAGTCATTAATAATATCTCCGAAAAGGTTCTTTTCCACGACTAACACAGAATTAGTAGTGAAAAATTATATGAAAACCAATAAAAAAAAATTATAATTTATAATGACAATGCAATTAGCCACCAACATCATCTTTAGTCGCCAAAAGTGAAGACAAATCCGACAACATGTATATTTAGTAGCAAAAAAATGGTCTTTTACTGACCAAAAAGGTTTGGTAGCTGATGCATGTACCTTTGGCGACCAAATGTTGTTTGGTAGCTAATCTGTCCACCATTTGCGACCAACTTTATTTTAGTAGCTAATTGGTAGACATTTGGCGACTAAATTTACTTTAGTCGGCAAAAGTAGTCGCCGAATGTGTTCTTTGTTGTAGTGCCGGGACCTTACAATAAAAATTAATGTTAGAACCCAACCCGGCATGGCACGGCTCAACCGGGTGAGGCGCGTGTGGTGGTTTGAACCAAAGCCCACTTTATCCATAACTCCTCCCGTTTATAAAAGTAAAAACTTAGACCCTTATATAGTATCGAGGCCTTTTCTAGGATGGTGAGATCCTTAGCAGAATTCCCCAGTTAAGCGTGCTTAGGCTGGAGTAGTTCTGGGATGCGTGGCCCAAAGTGGACAATATCGATGACATGTGATGGGTTGGGGTGTTACACTTTCGATCGCTCGAGCGATGCGACCAAATTCTAGAATTTCTAGATTTCAGTTCCAAATTCAAATCCAATTTCAAAGTACCAAAACACATTCTTTTGGGCCAAAACTTGAAGAAACACTTAGAAACTTGTAAAAAACCATGAAATGAAGTTCAATTTATAAAATCAAAGCCCAAATCTTTAACTTAATGTATAGCATAGGCATGTATTGTTTTAAGCTCAAACTCTTTAAATCATGAACAATTAGGATGAAATGGTATAAATCATGATAAATTTTCAAACCATAGCTAGGATTATTATATGCATGCAAGAATTCTTTGGGAAAGCAACCTCAAATGCAATGAAATATACATGCATGTATGTATTGAGCTTTAATCATTCAATTTTAGCTTAATTCTTGTATTTAACCACCCAACTCTCTTGAATTCATATACTGAATGTCCTAAATACAAAATTGAAGAGTATAATTCTTACCTAAGCTTGAATTCAAGTGTGTTTCTAACTCAAAGCTCTAAATTGTCTTCAAATTCCACCAATTCTTCATTTTCTCTTCTTTGATCTCAAATTCTCTCTCTCTCTCTCTCTCTCTCTCTCTCCATGTTTTTGGCACTAAAGAGATAAAGTGTAGAGTGTATAAGGAATGTTCTTGAGGCAACATTAGTCTTATATAGGTTTAATTAGTGATAGTTAATTAATCTTGATTAGCCTTAGCTTCATTTAATCAATTTATTCTAATTAGTTGGTTCCGAATCGAATTCCAATTAAACTTACCATAAAATTTTAAAAATTCAAATTAACATATTGATGTAGTCAATTTCATATTTGAATGTCGATAAGTCCTTCAATTAACAGAACAAAGTAGAATTCTGAACATATATTCTTACGGCTAATAGATGGGAATGCAAAACACATACAAAATGGATATTTAACCAATAATCCCATTCTTAAAACTTAATGAGCATTCTTAATCATGGATTATGGGTTTATTACGGATCAGTGTTGTCACAATGAGCTAGGCTGGAGTATGATGGACTATACTTTCCTCCTTTTGGATTTCTACAAAACAAACTCGTTAGATGCACCGTGGATGTTCTATCCAAAGATCATCAGGTGATGAAGTTAGCGAGAAGTTTGAAAGAGAAAACAATGGAGATTTAGGGTTAGAGAATGGATAATGCGTACATCCCCTTCACATCCTTTCTCACAATAACTTCTAGAAGATCTCTCCCATGTGAGAAAAATAATTTTGTTTATGGTCTGTAAATACAAGAATAAACAATAGTAAAATGTACATTTTCAATATAAAAGATATGACAATAATATTTTTCATATATACGACTAATAAATTACTGACTAAAAAAGAAGCTATATGTTGTGTAAATTAAAATCTTGAGAAAGCCCAATATAATTATGTTAAACTTATAAAATTTGATGCTTACTCTAAACCTTATTGGAGATTAGTATATTTTATTTTCTTTATTTATTATTACGCATTTTTTCAGTTGTATTCCTTATGCATTCAAGTTTTTTTTTTTCTTCTTTTTCTTTCTTCTTTTTTTTTTTTTTTTTCTCAAGAATTAAAAGTGACATATGCGTCACCCATGCCGTCAGGAATCAGGATACATATGATAATGGACTTATAGTTTGGAAGTCTAGATTTATGCAGAATGGGTTGGTAAGCAAGGTGGTCTATGAGTTTCAAATATGTTATAAATGTTTAGAGTATACTTTTACTACTTTGAAATATTGCAATTTTTTTTCTATTTTATCATACAAAAATTCTTTTCATTCTTTGATGCTTTCAAAGTTGGTGGGTCTCCACAACCAAGACAGACTAGGGGGCATAGTCATGAAAGACATTGCTTCCTAGAATTGGCTCAACTTGCTTGTAGAAGTCGAATCTAGTGGCTTTTAAAACTAAATAAATTTTATTTTATTAAAAATATCATACTCTGGTCCCTCACAACCCTCTTTTTCTCTTTCTATCTCCATCTCTCTCTATAGATTAGAGAAATTGACCACAACTTATCAACTTAGTTGGATGAAAGCAATGTTCAATAAGGGAATGATTTCAATTCTTGCAAGTTTTCTCTTCTACCTTCTATTTGGATTGGGTGATTTAAAAATGAAAATAAAAGGAAAGTAAATATTTTCCATTCACGGTTAATTACTTGTTTGGATAGAAAAACAAAAAGTTACCGAAATTCCTAAAAAATCACTTTTGAAGAGAGAAAAGAAATGAGAAGTGTGTGATATGTTTCATATTTTGTACCTTGCATAGTAGAATTTTGCTTGTTCTTTATTATTTTTATATTTTTCCCCTCTCCTCCACACCTTTCCAAACATGTGTGAAAATGATAATACTTTGTTTTCTTCTCTTTTCTTCCTTTTTAATTATCACAACAAGAGTGAATGAATACAATCTCCTTCTTCTTTTTTTTCTTTTTTTTCTTTTCAAATGAACCTTTTCAAATAGAGAGATAGAAAAATCAAATATAAGTGACAAGATTGTCTCCGCTTTGTTAAGAAGGACTGGACCACCTAATTAAGCCATTAGCTAAACCTAACATAAGGCCTATTTCGATAATTTAATTAATTTATTTTTTACATTTGTACGTAGACCATCTAAAAAAATAGATTAATCTGATGATCTTAATTATATAATTTTATTATATTTTTTAGAAAATACTTTTTATTTTAATATATATATATATATATATATAATAAATTTGCATAGTTATAAATTAAATTTTTTATATGTGGTCTAGATGTAAAAATTAGCTTTATTATGGGCATTGTCTAGTTTTTTGGCTGCCTAACAAAAACAAAAGGAAGGAAAGGAGGAAAAAATATGAAAAATGTAAGCAAAATAAATCACGTTAAAATACGTTATCACATGCCCAAAAGTGCATTTCAAGGATTGAAACATTGGAGAAACGTGCATCCCTCTCCTACCCCAATAAAACCTTTTTTTTTTTATAAGTTGTGATACCATTTTTATGGTGAACTTATGTTTTCAATTTATTTTTTTTTTTGTTATTTTAATGTTAAAAAAAAATTACATGAGATTGGATTTGGCAAGCAGCTTTTTTGTTGACTTTTTTTTTCGTTTTTAGTGATTTTTTATTTTATTTTTTTTAAAAAAATTTATTTTTAGGTTTAGTAGGAACTGAAAAATTAAAAAAAGAAAAAATTTAAAGACTCCACTAAAAATTAAAAAAATAACTAAAAAGTTTGACTTTTTTTTTGGATTTTTTCAACCAAAAAAATTACTGTTTAGATCTTTTGGGGTTAGATAGACTGGAAAAGTTTTTAACACAAATTTTCACTAAGATAAAATAAATAAATAAATAAACTTTATAGCTATATATTGCCAAACAAAGCCCGAATATTGTAATATAATATAATGATTAGGAAGGTATTAAAATAAGAAATAGAGGATTCTTTTCTCTTTTTTTTTGACAATAAAAATAGAGAAATTTGGAAATAAAAGATTCTGTGTCCATTTTTATAGAAATAAAATACGACTCTAAGTTAAAAAACGATGATAATAATAATAATAATAATAGTCATTTCACCACTCCAGGTCTATGTTTGGCAAAGAAAGACTTCAATCAACAATTGAATTTGTTTTTCCCCTCTTTGCAAGTAGACAAATCAAGAATCAATAATCACTTGACAAGAAAATCTTGGGAAAAAAAAAATCTAATCTATGTCACACAACAAAAATGTTAAGTATACAGAATTAAAACATAAAAAATACATAGAACATTCACTGTTTGACTGAGATTTATTTTAAGTGTGACCTAAATCACACTCAGAATGAATCTCAACTAAACAGTATATTTTCTGTGTTATATTTATGTGCACGTAGGTCACCGAATTGTGGGTTATGCTAGGTCCCCCTCTCTTGTAGCTGCTTAAATTGCCATAATTCGTCCATGTTCCAGAAGCTATCTCCAAACTCATTGTCAATCCAATTGCTTTGGCTCACATGGCAACCACCAATTGAATTTTCAAACTCCACAGATGATATGTTGAAGGTTTCCATGTCATAGCTAATGTTTTCAACATTGTAACAACCACCCTTTAGAAATGTGTTGTAGTCATGACTATTACCCATGGCCTCGATTGGGTATTCTGAAACTTGCGTCATATGTGAGATATTCATGGATTCTGAAGAAGAAACACTTGGGCTTGTGCTGTGTTCCAAGCTCGAATTCTTGACATGGTGATCCAAATTGTTGGTTGTTTCACTTGTATAAACATTTGCTTGAGGAGAAACTTGTGGAGGCAATGATGAATGGTTGATCAGAGGCCGACTAGCAATAGCCAAGTTTTGGGATAATATGACTGAAGAAGGAGATGATGATCCGCGTATCTTTTGAATCAAACGTGGCATCCAAAAGCACCGAATCACTTCTTGAAAGGCAGCGCTATTTGGATCGATCTTTAGATGTCGTGCTTGTTTTTGCACTCGAGTTCTCCAGTAATTCTTGATCTCGTTGTCAGTTCTGCCGGGCAAATGTTTTGCAATTTTTGACCACCTAGAAAAGTAGAAAGAAAAAGACGTCAAAACGGTTGTTAAATTAACTACTATGTAACAAACCAAATCAGCAAGTATAGTTGAAGTCATAAGGATAATTGATAATTCTTACCTATTGCCCCACTTAGAATGGAGTTCAAGAATCAAGAGTTGTTCTTCCGGGGTAAGGTTTCCGCGCTTAACGTCTGGTTTTAGATAATTGAGCCATCTCAACCTACAACTCTTCCCGGTTCTCTTTAAGCCTTAAAACAAAAAAGTTAGACAAGGTAAGATTGGTAATAAAAGTTTGCTAAGCTATTTACATAAACATAACAAAATAGATTGGTAATGTTTTTTTTTTTGTTTTTTTTTATTGATAAAAGAAAATTTTATTAATCTATTAACTTTGGTACAAATATAAGGATACATCAAAAAGATTATGGAGAAAAGTATCATAGCTTGAGAAAGGATAATAGTTGGGTAATGATTGGTTCAAAGTTTTGAATATCAATACGTATCCTGATATTGTTATTTAAATGATGAGTTCAATTAATAAATTTTACCTGAACGCTTTGCGAGCAGATTCCACCGGCCTTCGCCATGACAAGCAATGTAATGAATGAGAAGAGTGTCTTCTTCAAGAGTCCATGGCCCCCTCCTAAGCTCAACATCTTCATCACTAGAACTACTTGCACTCTTGCTCACACTAGACATGTCTATTTTGAGGCCCTAAAGTTAAGCCAAGCCCAGTATTTATAGGCTACAAGGTTCAGAGCACCTCCTAAATATATGCATACTGTGCTATTACTACGTTACCAACAACTTTTCAAAAGAAGTTGCTGATGCTGAAACCCTTGTAAAAGTTTCCATTACTTGAAAAAATAAAAAAATAAAAAAATAAAAGGAAAAGTAAATGAATAATATAAAGGAGTTTTCTAGATGGGTTGATAGCTTAGTCCCTTAATAATCAAGAGAAAAAGATTATTAGTCACCCAAGAATTCAAGTAGGGTCCTACGAAGGTGGCCAAATCCAAATTATTTATCAAATTAAAGAAAATGACATTAGTGGATTGATTATCACCGATGATAAAAAATAAAAAGATAATTTTGTTAAATATTTATTTACTATTGCTTGCTTACGACATCTCATCACACTAATTTATCCAGTTGCTAGCGATAATTAATACCCCAAGCGATAATGAATAATTACTCTTAAAATATCAATGTGATCTTATATGATTTAAGTTCAATGAATCCCACAAAAAGATTAATATTCTAATAATCCCTTATGGGAAGCCCAAACAAGGGAAAAGGAGATCTAGCTTAATTTCTGCAAATGAACCTTTTGTGCTGTTAGAGGGGAATGAGGGATTTATGGCACGTTTTTTTTTTATCGTTTTTGTTTTTATATTAAGAGTAGAAAAATATAAAAGCACACGAAAATTTTGATTAATTTATTTTTAAAAACTGTTTAAGGGAAATTTTTCTAAAAAAGCTTCATTTTTTATGAAGGAAATACTTTATAAAATCATTTTTTAATTTTTTAGAATTGTTCTTGCAAAAAATGAAAAAAAAAACAAAAACAAAAACAAAAACAACAACAACGAAACTGAAAACGAAAACGAAAATGATATATATAGAACGTGCTTTGACTAAACAAAATATATGTACATCAAAACGTGGGTTTGTTTGGCGGCATTTGAGGTTTTTCTTGGAATGTCACAATAACACATTTACTAGTTTTGTTACAAATACCTTAAAAATAAAATATTAAAAAAAAAAATTCTTAGATTGCGTTTAGTAACGTTTACATTTTCATTTATGTTTATAAAAAATCTATAAACAAATTTTTGTTTATTTTAGAAAAATAAAAACTAAAAATGGGTCTAATTTGAACAAAATATTTGAAAATTTTTAAAAATAAGAAAACTTTCATCAGTTATGCCCATGGTTCAAATAGCTAACCTTGCACAAGGTCAGCCACTAAGGCTGGATATAGGATTATTCGAACCGTATAATTCGCCCAATCTGAATCAATCCGCATATAAATTGACGGTTTTGCAGATAGAATACGGGCGGATATGGTTTGAAATATGGCATAATTGTGGGTTGCAGGTGAGTTGCAAGTTTAACCCGCATTCATAAGAACCCGCCCATAGTTAGATTTTTTTTTTTTTAAAAAAAAAATAGACCATTGATTTCATTCATCCTAGCTTAGATATGTTTGGCCACCACCAAATCCTAATTGCATTCAGCCTCTCTTCTCATCTCACTCTCTCTCGATCTTCCATCTCTCTCTCTCTCTATGTGATGACCACAGCGATTGATCAACCTTTGATGATCGGTGACCTTCTCCGGCAAGATCGACTTTCGCAAGATCAGTGACCTTCGTAAGATCGACCTTCAATGATCGGCAACCTTCTCCGGCAAGATCGACCTTCAACGATCTCTGTTTCTCTCTCTCTCTCTCGGTGACCTTCGACGATCGACAATAGCAGCCGTGTAAGTTTGAATCGATCTTTAGCTCCATTTTTAGGTTAAGACATGCTCTTGGATATTCTTGTATTTGAAATGTTGTCCTGATTAAATTCAGAACTCATCAGTGTATTTTTAGCCTCATCAAGTTCACTAATAGTTTTACTATTATGAGTTGTAATAACCTCCGAAATTGTTGCATCAATTGTAGAATCTGAAGCATTTTTCGTAGCATGATTCTGATACAATATTGTTTCATGATATAAAAGAAATATTATAGAGAACATTGTTTGAGAACATTATTTTTTAATGTTTTTGCTTTTGTTTGTTTTTGTTTGCTCTGTGAACATTGTAAGAAATTGAATTTACTTCTTCATGGAGGGGAAATTGAATCTATTAATTACTTTTAAAATTGAAATCAATCTTATATTATATTGAATCTAGAAATTGAAATTGAATATGGAAATTGAAAAAAGTTTAATCCGCACATCCACGAACCCTATCTGCACAAACCGCAACCTACACTGCAGACGGTTGTGGGTTGAATTTTTCTCAAACCGCATATATGCAGGCGAGTCCAAACCGATTCACAAACTATCTAAAACTGAACCGCGAATACCCCTATCAGCCACATTCCTACTGCTTTACTCTTCTGTGTTTCTTATGTATTTTGTTTTAATTTTTAAAGTTTTGTATGTTACAAATAATAAGAACAAAAATGCTGCAGTTCCTGTGATTCGAACGATTGACCTTGTGCACCACGAGGTCCTCCACATTCCTTCCATGTGTTTTTTTAAGTTTAAATTTTTGTAAACATGTTTTTTAAGTTTATGATTTTTAGTTTAATTTGAGAGGCCTATTTATAAACTCAAAAACTTACTAAATAAGTTTATATGATAATTTTTAAAATTTTAGGTAAATATAAACTGAAAACGAAATGATTACCAAACAGGAGTAGTTGTTTGATTTTTTATTAAAAAACATGAAAAAATAAATAAAAGAATGAGTTATTTTTTAGAGGGAATTACACTGACATTGTATCAGTAAAAATTATTTACAAAAAAGTAGAAAATATTGTAAATATTAATAATTAATGTCATAAACTTTTTCACTAATATGTAATAATTTTTTGAAAACCACATTGAAAAATAAATTTCCCTATTTTTTAAAAATATATATATTTAGGAAAATTACATCAGTAATTTTTATATTTTGTCCCTTATATCATTTTATGTCAATTTGATCCAGTTGATAATGATATTATTATTTTTGATGAAAAATGATCACTAAATTGGTTGAATTTAATTTGCTGCGTTGAGCAAACTTATAATTTTATTTCTAAAATTATGACATATGTCACTTATTTACATATATTTCATTAAAAAAAAATCTAACAATTATAATTAATTAAGTTAAATTAAGATAAAATCATAAATTCTTATTCAAAATTAAATTAATTAAAATTACAAACAAAGATAAAAATTCAGTTTGGTAACGTTTACATTTTCAGTTTATATTTACAAAAATTTTATAAACTGGTTTTTGTTTATTTTTTGTTTATTTTTAGAAAAATATAAACTGCAAACGCGTTTGGTAATTGACAAAATATTTAAAAAAATTTAAAAATATAAAAAAAGTGAGAAATAGCAAGTGGCGGCGGAAGACGGTGGTGGAAAGTAATGACGGTGGGTGGTGGGTAGCTAGTGGTGGTGGTGGGTGGTGGTGGGTGCGTGGGTGGGTGATGGTGGCGGATGAGGGCATGGTAGCGAGTGGGTGGTGTGGCGGGTGGTAGGTGGGTGGCGGATGGCGGTGGTGGTGGCGGGTAAGTAGTGGGTGGTGGTGGTGGTGGTTGGTGGTGGTGTGGCTGACGAGGGTGGTGTGGGTGGTAGGCGAGTGGGTGCGTGACAGCAAGGTGGTGGGTGGTGGGTAACAGGTGGGGGGGGCGAATATGGTGGTGATTGTGCGTGGGTGGTCGGGCCGGTGGCGAGTGAATGGGTGTAGCAAGTGGGTGGTGGTGGTAGTGGTGGCGACGGCGGGTGGTGGTGGTGGTAGCGAGTGGTGGTGGTTGGTAGTGGTGGTGGTGTGTGGTGTGGTGGGTGGGTGGGTGGGGTGACGGTGGCAGGGTGGGGTGGTAGTAGTGTGGGTGATGGATGGCGGTGTGGATGACAGGCTGGGTGGTGGGTGGTGGTGTGGTGGTCGGTGAGGAGGGAGTTGGTGGTGTGGCGAGTGAGGTGGCAGGTGGGTGCGGTGGTGGCAGGTGGTGGTGGGGGGTGGGTGGTGGGTGGTCGGGGGTGGTTGCGGAAGACGGTGGTGAAAAATGGTGGCGGTGGTGGGCTAGTGTTGGGTTGGTTTAAAAAAAAAAAACTGAAAACTCAAAATGGAAACACATTTTTTGTGTTTTTATTTTTTGGCCAAATTTATAAACTGAGACCACTGATTTATAAATCAAAAATTTTACTAAATAAATTTTTATTTGAATTTTTAAAATTTTTATAAATATAAATAAAAAATAAAAAACATAAGTATTACCAAACGGGAGTTACGTAATTTGGCATATATATTTTGTATCCAATTTTATAGTCGGTTGCTGTATTTTTAAATTTATTTTCTTGGTTGTCATCTGGTGTCTACTTGACAACAACGGTATATATGTGGTTGCTGTTTCTTCAAATCCCATCAGTGTTTTGGACCCAAAACACACACATAGGTGATAGAAAAGTCTGCTAAGTGCAGTTATTTCTGACTATTTTGAAGTCTACTGTTCTTTTTCTTTTTATTCTTTTATTTTTTTCATTTATTATTATTTTGTGTCATTTATTCTATGACAATGAAGAAATCATGCAAGGGCGGTGCCTTAATTAACTTAGTTTCTCATTGATGTAACTGTTTTGTCGACAGTGAGTTTAGTTTAAAAATAAATTATTTTAGTATTTTTTTAATTTTTATGAAAAAATATATAAAAAAATAGAAAGAGGTAACAACTTACAGTAATTTTTTGATTTTTCGATTAAAATAATTACTCCCCAAATGAGCCCTTAATCAATTTGTATAGAAACTTTTTATGAAAAGATATACAGAAAAGTATGAATAGTGATGTGACAATTTATAGTAATTTTTTGTCTTTTTAGCTAAAATAGTTACTATCCAAACGAGGCCTTAATCAAATTGTATAGAATCTGAATACAAAATTAAATACAATTTTTTTTTATATCTAAATACATAATTGAATATTATTAATAGTTTGACTTAATTCTCATTCAGTTATGCTGAAAATAAGTTATAATAAAATTATTGTTAAAATAATTTTTTGTGACGATTTTTTGCATATCGATAAAAATTGACAATT